CACACACACACACACACACACACACACACACACACACACACACACACACACACACACACACACACACACACACACACACACACACTGCTTGCCTGTGGCCAACACCCACTTCTTCTAAAGCCTCCTAACAGCTAGAACCAAAACAAAGCTGTGCGTGAGGCTGCACTCTTACTTCTCTGTGAGAGAAATGAATGAACACACCAGAGGAGTTTGCCTCACACTGATGGATTGATTTGTAGTGACTGATGAAATATTGAAGAAGCCAGTGCTTGTGAGATACAGGATTCTCCCTGTGTCCAGTGTTTCTGCTGGGTGGCGAGAAAACTACAGACTCTCCAACTGTGTTTGGGTATAAAAGTTTAATTTTCTCATGATGCAATTTCAAACCTGTGAATGTTCGAATATCCATTTCACGAGGGCTTTAAAGATCTTGTATAACTGAAAGCTCCACTGCAGCTGCTGAAGTGACCGTGTGCTGTTGTGTTTAATGTCAGAAATCTCAGATATGCTGAGAACAATGACCCACGAATATAAAAGATGTATGCAGCCACCCGCTACATGAAGTCTACATTTTGGAGCTCTAAGTTAGCTCGGTTAGCAAGCTCCTGGCATAAACTGAATGAGTGCACAGACACAGATACCTGCTATTTAGTTATGTTATGCTAAGTAATATAAAAAACTGCAAAAAATACAAAATGCTAGATTGAACTAAAGCACAAGCTTCTTGGACACACTGTGGCTCATATTCCTTGTCACATAATTCCATTAAAATGGTCCAAACAGCACAAACCTGGTTGAGAGGTCCAGCTCAGGAAATTAGAAGAGGTGAGGCCAACCTAACAGTATCCAGTCTGGTGAGTGATTTAAAAAGAAATCACTCACCATACGGTTGTTATTAAGGGGAAAGTGCCTCTTCAGATAGAGGATTGGAGTCGGTGTGGACTGAAAACACTGTAGGTTCTGCATCAGCATGTTTTTGTTGTTTGTAGAAACAGCATCTTTAAATGCAGCCATCTGAAAATGTCAGCTAAATTGATCTCACTCCTTTCCACTTATATTTGACTTTTAGACCAACTACTGAACATTAAGTAGCAGCTTTAAACTCATCAGGATCTTCTCATATAAAATCAGCAGTAAATCATTTTCTGCAATCTTTGCAAAATCGTTATGAATCAGGTCTGTCTAATCGCCGTCGGCAGTTAACGATCATATTGTCCATTGTGCTGCAGATCTGTAACCTTTCAACCTCCAGAGTGCCAGAAAGCCAGGCGACCCAGCGCAGCACATTGCTGTCTGCTGAGTCACTAACCAGTACATTATTCCATTAAGACCAATTATGTTGTGTAATTCCAATTGAGGCAGTCATGTGACTAACTGTGTTCTAGCTGACTCACAGATGAGATATGATATCCTGCTTACCTGACAGGCACAACACAAAGAGTCTGGGCTATAAAACAGTCCCTCCATTGGGACAGGGAGAATTGTTTGACTGCGCAGCACTTCCCATTCCCGAATTGTTGGGTAACTTGGGATATGCTGGAAGCTATGTACATTTTTAGGCATTGTCTCTTTTTACTATATACAAGGAAGACAAGAATCCTGATTCTTGTCACTTCACTGAAGTCTTGGAATCACCTGATCTTTCACCCAAGAGACAGGGGGTCATGTGTATGATGCCATTTTTAGACTCGATAGAAGAGATATATTTCACAGAGGATGATAAATGTGGCAGGAGGAAAAAAGGAAGACCTCAGACAAGCTTTGTGGAATTAGTGAAGGAGGACATGTAGAGGAGGATGTCAGGGACATTGTGAGATGCAGGCAGATGATCTACTGTGGCCCGCTCAGTGTTGTATTTATGTCTTTGTATTTATGCATGCTCAATCATCCAGTAAGGAAATCCGCCCCCCAAAAAAGTTGATTCTGTTTATCTGGACGTAGCGTTTTGTGGGAGAAAAGTTTTGTCACTCATCTAAGTGACTTCTTCAGTCTCAGCTGACTGCAGGTTTCCCCAATCGAGGTGGCTCTTCTGTGTTGTGCCATCTGCTTCGCCAGAGATTGTTTGGGTTCCTCAATGTACAAATCCTGGCAATCCTCCTGGCACTTAACAGCGTACACTATGTTACTCTGTTTGTGTCGAGGGATTCGATCCTTGGGGTGGACCAATGGTCTTTGATCAGTGGTCATGGCAATTTGCCTATTAATGAAGAAACTGACCTCACAGCCCATTGTTCCTTCAGTGGTGCTGGTTTCAGTCATTGTGCAAATGTACTCGTTATAAAGTTTGGGAAACCTGCAGAGAGCTGAGACTGAAGAAGTCATTTGGATGAGTGACGAAACGTTTCTCCTACTGAAAACGCTACGTCCAGATGAACAGAATCAACCTTTTAGGGGATGTTTTATCTATAATTTCTGAGGGTTGATATGAAGGTTTATCTGCAAAGTGTATTGACGATAACTATATTCTAGGAAAGTGTAAATAGGGGTTAGGTTTCTCTGTGTTGGTACTCAGTTTGTTAAATTGTATCTATTATTTATATTATTTCCTCTGTCTTCATTACATTTTGAATAATAAGGCTTTAAAGTCAAAGCTGTGTTAATGGTATAATAAGCGAAAGTTCACCAGCTCTCCAAAATAAAAATCTCATAAGAAGTCTGTATTTTTCCTCACTGAATGTAATGTTCTGTGGTGGGTAGCTCAATACTGAACATTCAGAGAAAATTATGGGAGAATATTTGGGGGCAGCTTTGGGAGCCGTAACAAAATCAGAGTGTACTTTTCTTGTGCTGGTAAATGAGAAAGCGATTAAAAAAAACATTAAGTGAGGCAATCCATAATCGCTCCTGACAGGCTGCTTCCCAGCTGGGAACAAATCTCATCACTGCACATTTCTGCACGAGCATTTCTCTGAAGCAGAGCTGCTGTGACAGAAGTAATGACGCTGCCGAGGGAGTGAAACTTCTCTTCTAGCACATAATCGAGCCAATTCAAGCTCCTCTGTCATGGGAAAGGTTGTGACCAGCTTTCAAAACTTCCTTCAAATGATTTTAAACTGTGACATTTAGAAGCACTCGTTCACTTGGAGCCCAGTTTGTCTAAATATGATCAAATACTGTTCCCTGTAGTAACGCAGCTAATCTCATGATGGTAATAGCCCTGAACTATAGTCACACCCAGTGAGTATAAGGCGTTTAACATGTTGTCTCTGCATTTCCGCTTGCACTTTAAAGTTTTCTTGCATGTTTTGTGTGTTTGTTCCTCTGTAAGAAACACACAAACAAACACACAGTTCTTTTGCTGTAAAGAACCGCGGGATACCAGAAGTATCTTGAGTGTTGCAGGGGAAAGTGTTTTTAAGTCAAACAGAAACCTTTGACGGTACACAGCTCCTCTGTTGGTCTGATCAATATTAAAATGAGGACGTGAGCTCTGGTTTTCTGGGGGACCAAACATACTGTTTGATCCACTGCAAGCACAAGAAAGTTATCAGAGGTAAAAAATAAATAAATAAAATAAATGTTAAAATATGTCAGATTCCTTTTCCCTCAATCGATGAAGTTAAATGTTTATACAAGTTGAATATTTTAACTTTATGCTGTATTATTTGATTCTCAGCTGTTATATGAAATCAAGCATTTTCGTTTTGTTACTGAGTTTATTGGACTCTTTAGATGATGGGTCCACTGGATTGCTTTGCCAAGTGTGAAAACTGCAGTGAAGTCACTGAGTAAGTCGTTACTCACATGAATTAAATGTCTCACTCTCCCTTTTGTTGTGGTGCTAGCATTACTGCGTAGGAGTGAAGTTGCCTTAAATGTTAAATATTGTTTTAATCACACATTTTGTTTGAATCAAGAAGAAATAAAGTACATATTTTTGCCTTTCCACTGTGATCTCTATATTGTAGATGATTCAATATGGAAAACCTGAGCGAGTGATGTTTTTCACTTGAGTTTGCGGTTGTACGGCTTGTGGCTCATGGACAGTTTCTGAATATGTTTTTTTACACTTAAAGGAAGGGAAGTATTTATGTACAAAGAAGAGCACCAGCCAGCATTATTTTTTCATATAGGTACTGTCCTTGAGCTAATTAATAAACTCTGTTAAAATATTACTATCAAACAGACTTCTTACAGTTTTAAAGGAAGGTGTAAAGAAAGGGAGGACAAGAGAGGTCCTTTTCGATCAGATGGAGAGCAGCTTTCACTTGGTCCCCCTTGTTGCTTCCCCCCTTGCTCTGCTGTGTGTCCGCTCCCCTTGACTGTGCTGACCTCCCATCTTTAATATCATGTGACCGAGCAGACTTTTATCATTTCCTTGATTTGGAAGGTGTGGGTAGGAAGCGGTGGCATGCGGTGAGTTTTGCAGTAAGGCGAACAGAGACTTGAGTAGTATCTGTCACAGTTAACTCTCAATATTAAAATATGAATGTTGTGTCATGATCCTGGTTTTTTGACCCTGCCCGTTGGCTTTTGGAATTTTTTTAGTTGCGGACTTTTTAATCCTTTATTTAATGCCCCTCTTTGTATCCCTCTTTGTATACTCTTGACCTTTGACTTTAGTGTGGTGTATGGGTAGCAGTTAGTATTTTACTTAGAGATCAGATTATATAGGGTTTTCTTTTGTTTTTTCTTAGCGTTCCCATTAGTGACTAGTTTGTATATTAGTGTCATTGTTTGGATGTTTGTTACTTCCTGTTTTATTTTGCTAGTCTCTTATCTCATGTGCATTTTGTTTACTTTTGTTTCCCCTTGTCTAATTAGATCCTGTTTTCCAACTCCATCATGTCATGTGGAGTGTTGGCAAACCAGCTGGTTAAATTAAATACTGTCAGACATTCTCATAGATACTTATTTAAAAGCACTGTTGACACTGCACCTAGTCAACTTGCCTATTTTATGGTCAGAGCTGCCTTCCCCTCTCTACCGTCGTCACAGCTTTTCTTGCTAATGTAAGAAGTTATTAGCAACTTTTTCTACTCTACATGACACATGCTGGCCAAGGTGGTTAGCAAGACCAAACTCATCACTTATGATGCTAAATCACTAAAGCTCATTTAGTTGCTATTGCTAGCTGTGTTTCCATATGTAGTGCATGTCATAGCTGATCTCAGAGCAGTGAAGGCTGAGCCAGATTGTTTCACACACTCCCGTCCTGTCAGCGAAAAACCAGAGTTTATCCGCCAGAAAAAAAGCTGCTGTCTTCCACTTGCCCAGCTCCTGCATTGTTAATGGGAGATGAGCACAAAATTAGCACAAATAGATGAGAAGCTTTAAGATCGAAGTGAAAGGAAAATCACTGTTTTTCAATTTGCATCTATTTTTAGATTTGATGAGGAAAGCACTGCTTGCCTTGCTTGCCCTGACAGGATAACAGTGGTAGGAAGTAATATTTATTCAAAAATAAAAGTTTGCAAAAGAAAAACAATAATTGTAAATACTTAAAAAACACAGAATTAAATGTTTAAATTACTTGTACTGTATGCATAGATTTATTGCAGTTGTATCAATCAAGCATTACCGAGTGAAAGTCATGTCAATGCAGCAACACACCCGACGTGTTGTTTCTTAGCTTTGTTAGTCACATAGAGGTAAAAAATAAAACAGAATCTCAGTGGCTGAACTGAGATGGAAATAAAATGGAACAAATGTAGAACATCTTATTATAATAAAACATGCATAATAGTTTAACTAACATCCATAATTTACTACTGCAAAGCTAGAACTTCTCTGACATGTCTAATGCAGTATAAGTTGGCGCAGATTAAAACAGATCAACATAATTTAATAAACGGTGAACTTAAACCTTTGTTTGTGTTTTCTTGTCCTCTTAGAGAAATGTACAACGACAACTCAGACCAAAATATTCCCTGTGATGAAACATTTCTGATAGTGGTCATTTCCAGGATTATAATGCCCCCCACTGATAGGACATAAGGGCTCAATGCTTTGATGAGGACGAAAATGATATGAGAAAATGAAAATGAGATTCACTAAACACCTAAGGGAGATTTTGGAACATCAAAATACCAGATGAGGGGATATGTTTTGGAAGAGTGGTGTTCCTTCCCTCCTGTGGAGTCCTGAGACTTTGAGCTTTGAAGCTGTTCTAGTGACACAGGATGGCTCAGCAGCTTACTAACACGGCTCAGAGTCTTTTATATATAAAAATAAAATGTAATTTAATTTTTATTCTTTACATTTTACCCAAACATTAACTTGTAGTTAGTAGTTTTAATATATCTTGTGCTAGAAGCAAGCAGTGGATAACACACGCCTCTTTGCGGTGTGTGTGACACTGACTGTATATAAAAGATGTTTGTAGCTTTGAAGTTAATTAAATCTGCATTCTATCTAATGGCCAACAGGGGGTGTTTCAAACACAACAGACTGGAACAGAACAGAAAGGCCAGGAGGAATCAACCTGCTGCTCACTTCCTCTATGACTTCAGTAAAAGAGTTTATCGTCTCAGTCACAAGTTTCAACACTGTGATGTTCATGGTGTAAATTACAGCTTGAAAAGACAATAAAACAGAGTATGCTTAAGGGCAGGCCTGCCTCTTTATGGGCGAGTTGCTTCACTATATGTCCCTGCCTGATATTTTCTTCTCTTTGTCTCTCAGACATGGTGCCACAGCCTGAGGTGTGGCCTGAGGTGGAGAGGGCAGAGTGTTTGGCCCGCGGCGCTGCCCTGAAGTGGGCGTCGGGTGTTTTCTGTCGGCCTGAACATCTGGAGCGACTCAGTCAATACAGGAAGAGAGAAAGTCAGAGGACAGCGTCCGTTCACACCAGACTGAAGGTGACAACACAGTCCACAAATACGCATCAATGCACAATAATGGAGCAGTCGTTTAAAGCAGTTTAAATTATCCCAATAAGGCACATAAAAGAAACCTAATCTACTCTTCCTTATTTTCTGTTGCATACAGTGCTGCAAAAAATAAGTTGTAATTATAGTTATAACCCAGTTCAACAGAAAATGTGTTTTTAAAGTAATGGTTTTATTTACTGAGGCGAAAAAAGCTATCCAAAGCTACCTTGTGAAAAAGTAATTGCCACACCCTGGACTGATTACCACCAGACCTGCCGACTCAAGAAATCACTTGAGATCTCAATGAACAGCACATCATTCTGCAATCTAAAGAGACAAGTGAGAAACAAAGTCACTGATGTCTATTAGTCTGGAGAGGAAAGATATTTCTAAGACTTTGGGACTCCACTGAATCATTATCAACACCACTTGGAACAGTGGTGTTGATAATTACCCTAAAAGCTCGTCGATGACTCATCCACGAGGTCACAAAAGAACCCAGAACAACATCAAAGACCTGCAGGCCTCACTTGTCTCGGTAGAGGTCAGAGGTCATGATTCTTCAGTAAGAGACGAGGAAAAAAATGGCATCCATAGAAAAGTTCCAAGGAGAAAACCACTGCTGACCAAAAATCACGAAAACCTTCAGGAGGGCTTTTAGTCCCGTTACATCCGATCAGAAGAAAGATGGCATGTAGGGAGGTGGAAGGACAGAGGAAAAGTTTTGCTGTTTTTTGTAAATAGACCTAACATTAACACTGCAATCCCTTTCTTTCCAGTCCATGGTCCAGTCGTACCTGGAGGGAGTGGGCTGGGGTCTGGAGCAGCTCCGCGAGGCCCGGACTGAGCTGAGGGAAGTGTCACGTGATTTGAAGAAAGCTGGACTGGAGTCTGATCAAAACACAGAGGGGGGAAGATCTCTGGAGAGACTGAGAGAGGTGTCTGCAAACCACAGTCAGCTCCTCGCTGCCGTTAGCAACCTGCCACGACTTTACTCCGGTGAGAAGCAGCTGTGTGGATGAAAGTAGGATCCCATGACGAAAGTGACTAACGTAGATGTCCCTGTCATCACGCTTTGCATACATACATGCATACATTTGCCTTAATCCTGCTATATGATGAGCAGATTATTATAACTGGTTTTAATTTGACATGAAAGGACTTTAAATCTAGAGATGACATCATTTTACACAGTTTTATGCTGGAACAGGATTTCAGGAAAACTATTTGAAAGCTGACACTAACACCATAAAACATTTACATTGATGCATTTTGGCAAATTTACTGTGACTTTGTTTGTTTCTGTGTGTTTATGATTTGAAAACATATAAAAAAGGTGTCCCACTGCTCTAATGTGTATTTTAAGGATACTGAGTTTTCCATGCTGAGGCCTTAAAAGCTTTAAAAGTGTGCACATGCTGTGATAATGCAATCTAATACATGTGCCCCGTAATGAACGGCATAATGTTCGGAAAGCATTTATTTAGATCTGCTAAGTAACAAGGTTCTTGTCTGTGAATGTGCTGCATTGAGTTCTAGTGTTTAATTTTAACTACCACATGTTGCTGATTTTGTCTCCATGAAGACAGTTTTGTGTTTGACCAAAGCAGCCGAGTCACTGACAAGCATCTGAATATGACATTTACGCTATTGCTGGTTGGAAAATCCCCTTATTTTTCTGCCTGATATTCAGAGGTATGTCTGCATGCCTAAAAGAGGTGTTCTGATTGGCTGCCCTTTGCAGCCATGTTTAAATGGCAGGTGGGTGGGGCTTCTAATGTCACCATCAGCTATGATGACCGCATTACGGAATATCCACTCATAATGACTTCATACAGAAACTATAGCGCAGTGTAAACCTTTTCATGTTTAATAATTCTTTTGGTAATTCTTATAGTTCCATGTAAACCACCTCCACATACTCTCTATTGCCCAGTGCGTAGCATGGTGATGGAGACAGAGCGCCTGGTGGAGTCCCGGCGGCTGTTGGAGGCCCATGCCAAGCTGATGGATCTAGAGTACTTGCAGGATGATATTCTATGGCAGCTCAACAAGGCCGCAGGAGGTGCACTCAGCACTGAAGACCAGGAAGTGGTGGCCAAATATTTCTCTGGAGTCCGGCACCTGGTCGATGCACTGGGTGAGGAACTCATTAGGATATGGGAAAATCTGTTCAAGCTCAACCATCATTTTTCATTAAAGTTCCTCTCCTAGCACCCTAACAACACATCACTGTTAATCAGATTTACATGTTTCTGTAAAAAAAAAAAAAAAAGACCATTCATTCATATAAGTTGCTTAAAGTTGTTGAGACATGGTTTTAAATAACTGACCTTCAGGCATTTGCAGCTGTAGCAACCAGTTTTGTTCTGGAATGAAACCTTTAAAAAATCTTTATTGATAAAAGAAAACAAATGATAACATTCAGCGATATTTAGTATGCACCCAGGATATGCAATAAGCTTTACAGTTGACTTTTCTAAAGCAAGAATACATCAAAGAAGCGTGTAGAAAAAGCAGTGTCATGGAAAGAGTGCCATTGGGTATTAGCAGCTTTAATAAAATCTTTAATCCCAGCTTCTGTGGTCCTGATGATGAAAGCACAAAGTCTGCTGGTTGAAACCTGATATCTTCATACTCCACATTCATCCTGGCGCTGCAGGGAAGGAGCTGTGGGCGGTGGTGAGCAGTGCTCTGGCTCTGGCCCGACAAAACCCCACGCCGTTTGTATCTGCTGTCAGGATTGTGGAGCGGGAGGAGGCGCTGGACCAAACTCTGCTGGAGGAGAGGGGAGGCGGCGGAGGCAACAGCAGGCCCCTACCCCCTGGACGACCTCGCTGCTGGAGAACGTGCTTCTTCAAGGTCAGCAGCACCTGATACAAGCACTGTTACCAAGTTTCTGCTTTTGAATATACAAATGTATGTCTCAGTTCACTCATACTCCGTTCTCCCAGGTACTAGAGGAGGCGGTGGCGGCGCGGTTTCGCAGTGTTTCCTATCTGCACACACGTGGTCCGGGTCTGGCAGGTCACCTCTCTGCACTGCAGCACGGCATCATGGCCGACCTGGCCACCGTACGCCACCTGCTGGAGCACTGCGTCCCGCAACAATACAAGCTGACTGGAGCCTACTTGAGGGCCAGCCACCGCTGTTTACATGCCCACCTGACACAGGTCGGTGAAATGAACAATGCCACCTCATCATGAATACTACAGATCTGTCTTCTTCTGTCCAGGTCAGTGTTTTTTAAACACCGACCACCATCACTGTCTACATGTAAGTGATATTTGTGGCCTAGGTTAGCAGCTGGGACCTGGAGAGCGGTGAAATCTTCGCTGTGCTCAACTGGGTGCTGCACATCTACAACAGGTGAGGCTCGTGATCAGAATCTGTATTTTATCCTTTCTCTGTTACCATAAAGTTTTTTAGAGTTTTGCAGGATATTTCTAAGCAGCAGTTTGGAAGATTTTAATCTTGAGCTAATCACAAGATTGGAAGAAAGAAGAAACAAGAGACACAAAACTTTTCTTTCAAATTTCTGTTTTGTTATTACTGTGAAGTTATGGACTTTTATTAGCATGAAACGCCACCCTTTGGCTGAACTCTGCAAACCCACGTTCAGCCATTAACGTCACAAGAAGCCGCGAGTTCATTAATACTTCATTACAATGACTATTAAAGCCACTAAAATCTGAACGTGGCAGTCTTGTTTTGGCAGCCCGGACATGATGGGTCATCCTGAGCTGGTGACGGAGATGGAGAGAGAAGAGCTGAGGCCTCTAATCTCCACAGAGGGACTCGAGCAGCTGCAGAGCAAATACGTGCAGAGTGTTCGGGTGAGCACTGGATACAGTCTGCATATACAGAGGACAGATGTTATATATATTGAAACTGTTTGTGTTGTCTGTGTGTGTGTGTGTGTGTGTGTGTGTGTGTGTGTGTGTGTGTGTGTCATTGCTGCTGTAGAAGAGTGTGTCTGAATGGATGCACAAAGCTCTGCAGGTGGAGCTGCAGGACTGGCAGAGGGACCAGGAGCCAGATACAGACCATGAGGGCTTCTACCAAACAAGCCTGCCCACAATCATCACACAGGTAACCAGTGCTATAAAAACATCAGATAAATACAATCACAGATCCATGACGTGGAGCAAATTTTACACATTTGAAAGTTTCTTTAATAAACCTTTAAATGAGCATCTCACAATCCTCGCATGCAGCATGACTGTGGATTCTGTCCTGGTTTTGAAGATGGATAATGTAATCACGTGATAATGTAATCACAATGATGATCTTCATCCCTGTCCACACCCTGCAGATTCTGTATGTAATGAAATTATGTGCTTCTTGGAAATGCACTGGCAGAAACAAAGATCTCACATTCTCTGCTATTAAACTTAGTTCAAGTTCCCCACTGAATGTAGAGTTGGTGTGGACTTCTCGGAGTGTTTTATATAACTATGCTGTGTATTTTGTGTGGATTTGTGTGTCACGGTGGTAGATGCTGGAGGAGAACGCCCGGGTGGCTCTGATGATCGGCGAGTCCCTGCGAGATCAGACTATACAGATGGGACTGTATGAGATGGAGAACCTCCTGAACAGGTGTGTGCGCATGGACGTTGTGTGTCTGTGCTCCTGAACATACTGCACCCAGCTTTTGCTTAGTATTTGCTCTTTAGACCAGGTTACACTGTTTGTAGACTTCAAGTCAGATCAAGTTTTATCATTTCCTTAATGCTGCTGTGTACACTCACCAGTCATTTCAGTAGATGCTCCTGTTTAACTGCTTATTAACAAACAATCACGAAAACAACTCAGTGGATTTAGACATACAGACATGGTCAAGGCAACCTGCTAAGGTTCAAACTGCTCTGAGACTTTCAGTCACATCAAACATCAAACATCCATCTCTAGGGTTTAAAGAAAATGGTCCAAAAAGAGAAAATGTCCCAGTTTCTCTAGAAGAGAATGCCTCAAAGTCAAAGCAGAATAGCCAGTGTGGTAGAAGGTTCAGGTTAATGACTCCACTTAACAGAGGTGAGGCCTAGCAAGCATGGATCAGCTCATGCCACCTCTGTCAGGATACCTCTCAGTCAGCATGGATATGCCCCTAAATCCAGTATCCAGCTGGATTCATTAGTCTGTTGGGGTTGACTCTTTTTTGGAGCATGCCTCTAGTGGGAAGTTAGAAGAACTACAGTTTGTGCTCTCCCTGCTGCATTTTTCAGCTCCGGAGGTTTCCTTTTGCAATAATTTTGTGAATCATTACATCTACTTTAACCTCCAGGTTTCGTGAATCTCTGGTGGAATTTGGAAAGGAGCATCGCAGGGATCTGAGCAACAGCAAAAATAAGTTCTACCTCCACTATCTGCTGGCCTCCATCAGCAACTGCATCATCCTCAAGTAAGTTTGTAGTGGAAGATCAGTGCAGGTGTGGAAGTAAGTAGTCACCACACACAGGAGCTTCTGATTGATAAATGCTCCAGGACGTGCACACTCTCAGCGCTCTCATGTTGAATCCATCCATCATTTGATGGTGTGGGGTCACTTATTATTTCTTAATATCACTTTGAAAAAACTTAAATAGAAACGGAAGAATTCCACGGGGAAGTTCTGAAGCAAAGACACCCCAGTGCCTCTACATGCAGTAGTGGTTCCTTTGCATATTTTTAGACTGGACATAATCCCGATACACAGGTTGAGTCCTGATCTTTATTATGAGTTTAGCTATAAGTCATACAACAGTTAGCCATTAATAATTAACTGTCTCAATGTAATTTTCTGCACACTGGCTTGGCTCTAAAGCCATGACAAAAGAGGAAGATACAGGGTGAAGGCCACTAAATACTAATTTATCTTGGTATCAAATTAAAAAAAGACAAAGAAAAACCTAACTGTGAGGTGAGAATCATCAGTAATGATGACGTGTGTATCTGGACATGTTGAGTGGCACAAAGCAAAGATCTGTGTGAAAGAAAAGCCGCTGAAGGTCTGAGGAAGGGTGGAGTTTAATTGAGGAAACACTCCAGTTGAGCTGATGTTCTGCTCCACCCATCGGCATGGAAACGTTATAAGCAAGCAAGCAGACCATCACAACATGAGGGTGTATGTCATGTGAGACACAGTGAATAGCTACGCCTGTGAAACGGTATTCGTTTCAATCGTTGTTCACTGTCGGTGCAGGAAGTCCACGGAGAGCCTGCAGCAGCAGCAGTCGTCCCAGTCGGCAGGCCAGTTCACTCGCACTCCTCCTAACCCTCTGGCAGCTCTGGACCGGGCGGTGCGGCGGGCGTGCCGGCTTGTCATGGATCAGCTCTTGCTGGATTTGAAGCCTTTCCTCCCAGGCCTGCTCACCCGACCCTGGCTGGCTCAGGGAGACCCGACCCCCAAACTTTGCCACGTCCTGGAGCGTCACCTGGAGCTGTACTTGCGCGTTCGGCCTCCCTGCCGGCAGGTATCAGATTCAGAGAGCAGTTTAGAAATGTACTGTGTGTGTCGAGGGTAAAGGTGGTCTAGAGGTACAGAACCTAATAACCGAAGAAAGTGTAAATAACCTCCAAAGACAGGAATAAGTCTCATAGTGCATATTTATTTTATACATTCTGTGTGTGCAGCGTCTGCAGGAAGAGGCCCAGTGGCTGATGGTGGTGGAGTACGTCAGGGCTCTGATGCAGAAGAGGCTGGTGTGTCGTAGTGGCGAGGAGAGGAGGCAGCTCGCTCAGCAGATGCTTCAGGACGACCAGCTGTTCAGAGAAATCTTCCACAGCCTGGTGGGTATAAAGTACTATTACACAATATTAGTACACATGATTCAGAAAAATGTACCAGGTTATGTAACACTGAACAATATCAGTATGTTAAGGTCGAGACTTTGTAGAAATATGAGTACTACATTACTCATACTACAATAAAATGTATTTTATTTAGGCCCGTGCTGGTCAATATTCAATTAATTTAACAGATTAACAAAATACACATGACATGTAACATTATAAAATGAACAAGGACATAAAAATGAAATGAAATGGAACAAAATCAAGTGATAGTTTGAAATAAAAATGAAATAATTAAAATAAGATTAACATAAAAAGAGACCAAATCAAAGGATGTAAAAGTAGAAAAGTAATCATGTGAATCATGAAATTACAAATGCATAATTAGATAAACATTGACGTACAATTTAACTAATTTTTAAACATTTAAACAATATATGATGATTTTTTTTAAAAAATTGAATAATCTAAAGTATAATAAAACTAAAATATGACATAACATAAAGAAATTGAGAAAAAAATGGAAAAATGTAGAAATAAAAATATATAAATGAAACGACAAAGTTAAAAAAAAGATGAAACGTGGGATTATAGCTTTATGAAATAAACACATTTTTAAAGCTATATTGTGAAATAGAAACGTAATATGAATTACTGCATGACAAAATGAAATACTTCTAATGATCTACTTTTATTGTTAACTATAAATTAAATTCATTGGTAGAACAATTATTTTTAAAGAAGTGGTCAAATACGTTTCTTTGATAATAACACGCTGAGTAGAAACAATCATACATAAGTATTTTATTTATTTATTTATTTAACATTGAGCACTTTGGGGTATTCGTATACATATAGTTTGCCGTTGTACTGCATGAGAATCGTGTGTTTTCATCTGCTGCGATGTCTTAACTGAATAATTTCCACAGAATATTCATACCTGTCCGTGCTCGATCACTCAAAGCCACACGTGCATCGATCTGTCTCAGCAGGAAGGTGAAGGGTCAGCACCTGAAGTGAACCCTTTGGCCTTACTCCCTGTCCTGGCCGAATTCATCCGCCTCAAAGACCCCAACATGCTCACACTGGAGGTGTCTGGACTTGCAGCCAAATATCCTGACATCAGGTAATCAGCACCTCCTCCACCCTAACTGCTGCTCATTCTGTAAGCTTGATGTGTAAAACAAATACTGCCAGTGTTGTTCAGAAGAAAGTTGTATTGTAGACGTCATACGTCAGCTTTTGGAAACACCGTCTTTAATAAAGCTGCCACAGCCCTGATTGTCTTTGGTTGTTCAGTGAGTGAAGAAACAACAAACAACAGAACAAATTCTTCCAAAGTGAGCAGACAAAACGGGGACGTTTCAAGAAGTCTTTGGGTTGTTTCTGAGGTTTAATTCATCTCATAATCTGTCAGTCAGCGTGTTTCAAAGGAGAAAAGCCTTTTTTATGATTGCACACACCACAGGAGTAGGAAAATAACTTACCTGAACAAAGCTGCAAAACGAAAAACCCAGACTGAACATAGCCATAACACGAACTCACTGCCTGCTGACCAATCAGGCCTCTAGAAATTAGCATCACCGTTGGTGGAAGATCTCTCAGACCGCTGTGAGATGACAGCAGGAGGGTTTAAAGTTCTTTAAGCACATCTAAAGTCTTTAATCTTTTTTATTGTTTCTCACCACACAGGTTTGCACACGGACAAAGCCTGACATTTCGTTTTTATACTTAGTCTATACTCACTTTCAGGCTGTGAGACATGAGGCATGATATTAAACAAGGCATAAAGTGTGACATTTATGGAAAAAAGAGTATAATAAGGTGATGTGAATTGAATAAAAATTAGATTTTAGATAAAATGAAATGGTCTGAATTAAAGTAACGCTGTCAGGTGAAAAGGAGAGAAAAATCAATGCGAAATAAATAAACTCATATATAAAACAGAATGATCAAAAGCATAAACATTGTAGAAGGAAAAGCTAAAATCAAGTGACATTGTGAAAGAAAAGGTATCATCAAAGCGATGCCATACGATTTAAAATGATCTGGCTGTAGCTCAGGAAGTAGAGCAGGTCATCTGCTAATCGCAAGGTTTGTGGGTCGATCGCTGCCCAAGCCAAATATCCTTGAGCAGGATACTTACCCCAAGCATCCATCGGAGCATGAATGTGTGTGAATGTTACATAGAAAGCACTTACATAGACGTAAGAGCTTGTGTGAGTGAGGTGAGTTGCGTAAGGTGCTTTGAGTGCTGTGTAAGAACCAGTCCATTTCCTTTGGTGAATAATGTAGGAAAAGATTTTGTGTTTGTTCTCTCAGTGATGAGCACGTGTCCGTGCTGCTGGAAATCCGAGGCGACGTCTCCCGGGACATCAAAGGGGCTGTACTGGATTTGCTGGAGCAGAGCGCTCCCCCTCTTCCCATCGGATACCGACCCATCTTCACTGACATCCTGGTGCCTCCCTCCACCATGGCCTTTTGCCTGCCAACTGCCAAGTGTGCATAGCTGCAGGGGTTTCGTGTAAAAAGCAGGGAGCTCCTAAATAAACACTTAGAAACAGTGCTGAGCAGAGTCTCCAGCTCTCCTTATTTATCTCTTCTCACCAAAGGATTCAAGATCTCGGTGATGCACATGAATTTATTTCTCCTCCAGCTTACCAGGGGTTTGAGGTGGCGACTTGCTGGTCCAGGTCTAATGTCAGCTGCGAGGCAGGGGTTGTTTTGTTTGCCTTAAGTCTTCTATACTTCCAGAAGTCGCTGTCAGAGTTTTCTGCAGTTTATACAACAGAGTTAACAGGACGTGGATGATTTTTAAAGTCCGGTAACAGGACTATTGTGCACTTCATACACTCTCTGTAGCCCCATTTGGATAGAATTTATTTCTCTTTGGCAGGTTGGGTGATTTTATTATCAGTCCACACCATATATGACTTGTTTTTCTCTGGGGATTATATTATGATCAAAGTGAAAAAGTATTCAGCTTCAGGTAAGTAACCTGTTCTCTGAACTCTGTTTTCCACTTTCTCAAACTGTCACATTAACAGCGACCAGACGCCCTGTAGTTCTGTTATTTCTAAGCAAATGATAGAAGATAAATAAATGTGTTCATCTATTAACATTTATTTATTTTTTAAATCTTTTTCCTACCTGAATGTTCATGTCCATTACAATGAGAGCGAATTACTAAAGGTAAAGAAATACAAACAGAGAAACTGAGTGACTGGATAAAGCAGGAAGAAATCCTGAGATTAAAGTCATACAATTCTGAGAAACACACATGTATGATTTGTGGGGAAAAAATAATATCAACACAAGAAAGAAAAGGAAAACAGAATTTTTATGATGGGAAAAACATCTAATTTAACAATTTCCAAGTAAAATGTAGGTAAAATTTATATCTTTCAATTTGTTTAAATATCTTTAAAAGGAAATGTTAGAACACAAGCAACAGCTTTCCAGTCATTAAGAGAAACAACAAACTACGTTTCAAAAGGAGTTTAAATGCTGTGATTTTCCCTTAACCTTCAATAGTCTCGATACGCTGTCATATTTTCACAGACTTTAAAAAGCTGTTGATGTTATTCGTGTCCAAATGGGACTTTTGGTTCAGGTTTAAAGTGACAAACAGCACAAACAGGCCTGCACGCTGCCTTCGTTCTTCTTCATTACCCACCATGTTACTGGTTAAACGTTATTTCTGCTTCCTGTCACTTTAAAGAGTCAGCGCTGAGCATTGCTTTGACCTGCATGAGTAAAATCTCACATCAGCATAAACGTTTCTATGTGAAACAAACAATCTGCCTGGATAAACTGCACCAAAGTTTTTTGATCATTTCTTTGTGAGAAAACATTTTTAAGACTCAAAATGCTGCATATTAGATTTCTTTATATAAACTAAAAACTTCCTGAAAAAAAAGACACTTTTAAACTTTTTTGTGGAGATTTTCATCTGATTTGAGGGAAGACAGAGGTTATGGGACAGATTTATGATATTGGTGGGCTTCAAACATAAAAATGCTTTGAGTTGAGTTTGAATTAAATTGGCTGTGCAGCATGCGTATACACATTAATGCAGCGTGGGTGTTTGGCAGGGTTTGCTCCCCGCTGAGTCAAAGTTACTATGGTAAAATAGATAAAAGGTGTAGTAGAAATTCAGATAAAGCATAACTCTTATGTAATGTATATTGAAAATGAAAGAAAAAGACGTGAAATAACGAAATGATCATATAGAAAGTGGCATTATGAAAGAAAAGTGACAAAAAAAATAAACGATGAGAATGAAATTAAACTGAAAATAAGAAATATTAAATATGTGGTTGGATTATTAATAAAAATGAGACACTGATGAATCATTAAATATATAAGTGGCATAAAATATAAAAACATGACATGAAACAATGGCATTATGCATTGAAATGTTAAAATTAAGGTGACATAAAAATGGATGATAATTTAGGAAAGTGCATACATTAAAAAAAAGAACAAATGAAAGTGTGTATAAGTTATAGTTTATTATTTAAAGATGAACGTGGTTTCTCTTTGAGATTTCCCAGCTGTGAACATCCCACCAGAGCAGCTGCTCTGTAATCACTCTGAAACTGTGTTTTCATTTCAAGCTTGCTGTTTGTACCAAATGTTGTTTATCTCATTTTTTTTAGAAAGTATTTATTGTATTTATGTAACAAAGTCAACTGTTGTCTTTTGTTTGGTGTTTTGTTATTGGTTTTACATTTCTGGTTCAAAGCCTCTAAAGTGCATAAAGTCTGTTCCATAAGTGTTTTAATAAAGTCTTTATCAAGTAAACTTTGTATTTCTATTATTAAAAGCATATGGCACATATTAAGTATGAAATCACTATCAATCAGCAGATGCAGTATTATTTAATTATTATGTTCTTTACTTGGCATAAAGTATTTATTTATATCTTGAGCTACTGCACTGTAAATGTGTTTGACTTTTATATATTTTGCTAGTGTCCTTTATCTTTCTTGCCTCTTAATTCTTCTTTACGGTGTGTGAGAGAAACAGCATTTCATTTTTGCTGGATGTCCTGTACACGCAGCAAACTGACAGTAAAAATCTTTGAATCTCGCGAGAATGATGAAACGTTATTTTGATAATGAAAGCAAGATTTAGGCGTGAATTTTAATTTTATTCATTCAGGTTTTTTTTATTTGCAAAGGCTGTTTCTAGTAACTAATATAGTCACTTTTGAAATCATTTATATTTTTATTTTATGAATTATTATACTGTTTCATCTTAATATTTTTTTAGCTGTTTAAATTCCTGCTGTCTACTTTTTACAGTCTGTTTGGAGCACCCACACTTTCGTTGTACACGTACAATGACAATAAAGGGCTATTCTTTTCTATTCTTTTCTATTCTTTTCGATTCTGTTTTTTTCTTCTCATGTTTTTCTAATATTTTTATTGTCATTTTTATTTTCGTAATTTAGCTTTTCACAAGGCCGATTATCTTTTATAAATGTATTTAATAACCAACTCCTAAATTACAACTCCAATAACGACACAAATACCAAAAAAAGAAAATATCAACGACGCAAAGCGTCACGTGACTCCGCCTACGTGACGTCACGTGGCAAGATGGCGGCTTCCTTTGGAGAAACGCTGCTGCTGTGATCGTGTTTACTTGCCTACTTGTAGAGAATATTCAGGCGAAACCAGCCGTCATTCAACCGCAGAGGGGTCCGAGTGTCGTGGCGGAGATGAAGACCTTCTGCGGGAGAGCCAACCCGACCACCGGGGCTTTAGACTGGGTGGAGGAGAGCGAGGAGTACGACTACCACCAGGAGATAGCCAGGTATGCTCAGGGCGTTCAGTGACCACAGATGTGGTTTACAGATGTCTTGCGTACCCTGAAAACAAAGATCCTTAGAAACACTGAAGATATTCGCCACTCTGTGATCCTGTATGGAAGTTCAGTGATGCCGGCAAAAGAAATTGTAACGTTTGTCATGAAAATTCTCAACTTAAACGTGTAAAAATGCACAATAAAGATAAGAATATGAGATATAAAAGCACAGATAATGATATGGAAACAAACTACAGATACAGTCTCACCCTACACTGCTGCTGATCAATAAAAGGTTTTGAAAAATCAACGTTATTAACTGAAGTGAAAAATATCATGGAAAAAATGGCCTAAAAAATGAGAATTGTAAAATAAAATTAAAAAAAATTATATGTTTGTCTTTCTAAATCCAAATGTAAACAGAACGTGAATATATTTTTTTAAATTGTACATTCATTTTCTTATTTATCTTTTTCTTAACTTTCCTCTGTTTTAATTAAGCTCCTTTGACTGACTTTGTTATGGCACATGTTCTTTGTTGGTTATGTTTTCAAAAATGATGATTTTATACGTTTAAACTGCATTAGTGACTAATTTTTATCTTTTTCTTCTTTAATCGGTTTTTTAAAATTTACAATGATCCTTCATCGGTTTATCTTTCAGGTCCTGCTATGCAGACATGCTGCACGATCGCGACAGGGTAAGACCTGGAGAAAAAGTCCCTCAGAACTCTCAGAAGTGCTTTTATTATTACTAATAATAAACCCAAATAGATGGATAACACATATAACAAGTGTCGTGTTTGACAGCAGAAATAAAACAACAACACCGCTAACATGTCTTCCACTGCAGAATAAGAAATACTATGAGGGCATCCGGGCTGCTGTAGCCAGAGTGAAGGCTCGCGGCGAGAGGGTCATCGTGCTGGACATCGGCACCGGAACTGGCCTCCTGTCGATGATGGCCATCACGGCCGGGGCTGACTTCTGTTACGCCGTGGAGGTGAACATCACTGATCGCTCTCCTTCAGCATGGATTCATTTCCTCCTTGTGGTGTTTTAATATCAGTTAATAACTTTGTGATGCTTCCCTGCAGGTTTTTAAGCCGATGGCCGAGGCGGCGCAGTGCATCGTGGAGAAGAACGGCTTCTCCGACAAAATCAAGATTATTAACAAACACTCCACAGACGTCACTGTGGGACCAGGTCAGACACGGCAGTACTGCATCAGGCTGTGTGTTAATGAATCTCAACTTCACAGCTCACCCTAAATCAATTAAATCTTCTGTCCATATATTAACTTACTAACATCACTCTTTTCTCCCAAACTGTAACGATTCACTCCAAGCACAAAACCAAACAAGCAGAGGACATTTAAAAAAACAGCATTCATTACTTACACAGCAGTGCATCTGTTTTCATAACCAGAACCCTATTTTCCAGATGGAGACATGCAGGTGAAGGCCAACGTCCTGATCACAGAGCTGTTCGATACTGAGCTGATCGGTGAAGGAGCTCTGCCCAGCTACGAGCACGCCCACCAAAACCTGATGCAGGTGTGTGCTGTCACACTTTTCCTGCATTCGTCAGCAGCTTCCTCACAGCTGAAGGTTTGGACTGTTTCCGGTAGTTTTACTTTCCTTTTGCTGCCCCGCAGGAGCGCTGCGAGGCCGTCCCTCACCGGGCCACCGTCTACGCCCAGCTGGTAGAGTCGGAGCTTCTGTGGAGCTGGGCTCAGCTGCAGCCAGTTGAGGTGGAGGGGGCCAGGCTGGTCCCTCCGCCCGCAATGGGCCGGTGTGCCGGAGCTCACGCGGTGTGTGACATCCAGCTGAGCCAGGTGTCTCCTGCCAGCTTCACCCCGCTGGGTCCCGTCTGCACCATGTTCACGTAAGAAAGGAGACACTTGCTCGTATGCATCTGCAGTTATTCACATCCCTCTCTGACTGTCATCCTTTCCTTTCAGCGTGGATTTTAGCAAACCTGTAAGCAGCGCCTTCCAGGCCCACTCCTCCCAGTTTGTGGCTCAGTCAAGTGGCCGGGCTCAGGCGGTTTTGTCCTGGTGGGACCTGGACATGGACCCCACTGGGTCCATAGTGTGCACCATGGCACCCAGCTGGACTTACCAAGAGCCAAAGATGGCCCCGGTGAGTTACTGCTCTGCTTGTGTTTAAGCAGCCAGTAGCATCAGACTACAGCAAGCTCTTCAACAGCTCAGGCAGCAGTGCCACAAATATTCTTAAATATCAGAGGGAACAACACTTCAGTGCACTCACTTTATATTCAGTGAACATGTCTCCATCTTGTACATAATAATGAAACTGCAGTAAAATCCACATCTGACAGGATAAAGAAGCCAGAACTGATCTTTTTTAAAGCTAAAATATATGAAGGTGTTTTCTTAGCTTTGCATAAACAGCTGAGGTTTGACTCACTGCGTTTAGTATGAGATAAGATAAACCTTCATTAGTCCCACACGTGGGACATTTTTTTTGGTCACGGCAAAAAGTAAATCGATAAATCATCGGTCACTGTCGTGTCTTTCAGTGGCGCGACCACTGGATGCAGAGCGTGTACTTCCTGCCTGTGGAGAGCCAGGTGACAGAAGGAGAGGAGCTGAGCCTGATGGTCTGCCACGATGACTACAGTCTGTGGTACAGCCTGCAGCCTCGCAGGTACAGTTTGCTCAGACGCATGTATACGCTTTGAACAATTTATTTAAACAAGAGACTTCTTGAATCTGCCTGCAGCTCATCAAGAAGACATCAGTGTGATTGTTCTCACTGAATATGAGTGAAAAGATTCATGTGAAAAGCTGCACCCTATGATTCAGCGGATGGTAGAAGCACGTTTAACAGCAATAACTTGAATTATCAGACATTACTCACAAACATGTCCTCCTGGTTGGGAATTGTCACAAACTGGTCTGAATGTCGATCGTTTCAGCCAGCGGGGCTCACAGACTGAGGCTCCTCCCTCTCGGCCATGTTGCACCTGCCAGGCTCACCTGGTTTGGACTCGGCCGCGTTTCGGCGAACTTAACGACAGACGGCGTACGGAGAGCTACGTCAGCGCTCTGCGCAGCGTAAGTGGAGGCATCGAGGCCGCCTGTGTAAATTCATATATTCTCGAATACGACTGCGGTTTAACGAGCTGGGTGACCTTCAGGTGCTGAGAGAGGACAGCGTGTGTCTCAGCGTCAGTGACGGGAGTCTGCTTCCTGCGTTCGCTCACATGCTCGGAGCCAAGAAGGTACGCCGCTTTCACCGCACAGATACTGTCGCTCCGTGACATCATCAGCGTCACGCCTGTTTTCACTTCCATGTGTTTCCTTTTCTACTCAGGTGTTCGGTTTGGAGAACTCCCAAATGTCTAAACAGGTTATTGATGAGGTAATCATTCAGATCATTCTCAGCGGTGATGCTTTGAAATGTTTCAGGCACTGTATGATTTTTATTCTTGTTTCATTTTGGTAAAAAGATGATGAAATGGTTTCATATAACCAAAACTGTGTCTTATCCTGCTTGTTACGTCCTGTATATCAACATGAAAGCATCTTTCTCTGCAGGTTTTGGAAGCCAACTCCATGAAAGGACGCGTTGAGCTGCTGGAGATCAGGCCGGAGCAGCTGACCAGTAATGATGTAGGAGGAGAACAGGTACCGTCGTCTTCCCGATGCAACCAGGAAGCATCTGAATGCAACACATTTAGACTCCTTTAGAAGGATGTACCACAAAGCAGGATTAAAGGGTTGACAAGTTTAAAGTCTTGAGTTTTCTGTGTCACGAAAGTGGCTCTCTTTTGACCTGGCTAAATCACCGTGGTAACACATAACCTGGTCCAGTCCAGTCAAACTGGGAGCATCTATTAATCTGTTATCACAGAGAGGATTTTACGTCAGGAGTCCCACCCACATGAGTGCTAAGGAAACTGATGATGTTGGCCTCTCCTGTGCAGATCTCCGTCCTGATGGGTGAACCGTACTTCAGCACCAGCCTCCTGCCGTGGCACTCCCTGTTCTTCTGGTACTGTCGCACCGCCCTGGCAGGTCTTCTGCGACCCGACGCCAGCATCCTGCCCCGCTCTGCCTCCCTTCACATGGTGGCTGTGGAGTTCCAGGTGAGGCTGTTAGGATTGTTGTTATCATCTGTATACAGGGCGATCAAACGTTCCCAGAATGGGACCCATAAACCAAAAAATCTTCTCTTTGTGGAAATCAGCTTACACTTGTTTCTGCGATGATCCTTCAGACTTTACACTTTAACCAATCAAATAAATACTTAATCAATCTATCAGATGTTGGCTGCTTATGTGAATTCAGGTCATATTCAGTGGTTATAAGTCCTAAGCATGAAGACTGTTCACAGATGAAGGCGCTGTTAAATGTATCATCCAAATGGCAACAAACAAATTGCTATTTTGTTTGTTTGTTTTTGTTTTGTTCACACCAGTGAGTGAAGGTGTTAAATACTCTGATCATTTTCTTTATTGCATTTCTGCATCTCCATCTTTCAGTTCTACATGCTGTGAGATTCC